TGAGAACACCCATTAACTGGAAAATATATTACCTGCACCAAAATCACTCTCTGTTACACCATACCGGCTGCAACCCTACAAGAATAGTTGGAAATATACTGAAAAGAATCAATAACTCTAGCAAGAAAATGCTGAATAAGGAAAACAAGCTAAGATTTTTACATATGTTGGTGGGGAAGGGGATGCATGGAGGGGGAAATAGATAATTTGGGTTGAGGAATGGAAGGAAGCATTAATTCAAAAGTTTCACTGTTTGCCTTCTCTAAGGACTTTCTTGTTTGCTTTTAGGATACTTGCAAAAAGATGCCAATAAGTCATATAAAAAGTCCCCTTAAATACAATAATAACAACAAACCTCAATATTGTAAATTCCAATTTTCCCATCAAAGGAAGATGCTGATATGACTCCAGGTATTTTTGGATACCAGTGTATATCGAAGTTCCAGTTGGTACCAGCTGGCAATTCACATGCAACCTGCACCAAAAGAAAATCATAACCCAGAAAATATTCACCACAAAGAATACTTAGGCTGCTAGAAGGAAGGTCAAAGAACGTCAAGTCATCAAGTCAGTTCCCTACCTCTCCAGTTACTGTGTCCCAGCAAATAGTACGATTGTCTTTCGCACAGGTAATCAAATAGGAGCTGTCTGTGTGACACCAAGACATTGCAATTACACCTGGAACAATGCACACAATCAAACATAAGACAAGATTGTGCAATAATAATGCACAGAACTTTTTAGGGAATGTGCCATGAAGAAATGACTACCAAAGTAGCTAAAAAAATGTCTTGAAAGAACAATGCATTAAACTTCCTTAAGAATGAGAAAATCGTTAACAGTAGTATAGTATCACTTTGTGAAGATTACCTTTAGTGTGGCCCACAAACTCTTTTACTGGTGACATTATATTTCGCATATCCCAAAGCTGTTCACAGAAAAACATCATTATTCTTTTTTGAAAAAGAAACTAACCCTTGGAAAAAGCAATATCATCTACAAAATGTTGTCCAGGAAAAAAATCTACAAAATCATTACCCTCAGAGAAGGTGAACCATCTTCATCTGATGCAACAATAAGCTGAGTTGCTAGATCTGGATTCCACTGTAAGACAGAGCACCGTCTTCTAACAGAATCTGAAAAACTGTTGATTCATAGACAGAACCATTAGCTAATGTAGTATACAGCATGTGCAGTTACCATAAATTATAGTGGAAGCAACAAACCTACCTTATGATTGGTTTTTGCTTCCTCAAGTCCCAAACAGCTGAAAGATAAGAATATATTTTAAAATTATTAGCATTCTTAGAGACAGGAAAAAGAAATCCAAATGACCAATCTAGTCAGTTTCTCACCAGTTGTTCCATTATAGGACGTGGATGCTAATATATGTTGAACCTTTCTATTCCAAGAAAGAAAAGAAATTTCACCTTGAGCAGCAGAACCACTACCCTGCAAGCAAACCGCAAAAACTGCATTAGATGCCCCAAGAGATTTATTTAAGTGTGAAAACAGAGAAAAATAGAGTGGGCAAGATCAATATTAAATGAATTGGAATGAACCAAGTATCAATAAAAATCAATTAAGCATAAATATCAAAAATATATCATAGCATTAAAGATGGATCCTCAAGGCTTATTCATTAATTATATATCAGATTAACGATATCCCCTACAAATCTTAAACTTAAAGTCCATTACAGGCACTGAAGATTTAAGATCCCATCAGCAACAAGAGGCAGGAGGCATTTATAGACATCAGCTATTCTTTTTATCCCTGAATTCCAAAATATAATTATGTACAAAAATACAACAAAATCAACTTTTATCTAACACATTAAATCCAGGAAATTACAGTTCTTAATTGATTAAAAGATGACATTTTTAGATGTTACATTGCAGATGAAAAGTTACACACTTGAAATATAAAATTAAAAACCATAGCCTTGGTTCTACCAATATAACACTACTGAGTTGCAAGGAACTTAAGCCCTTCCCACAATCTACACAAACTAATTGCCTAAACATGCATCATGTGTTCATGTTCCATGAATGCACTTTCAATCACATGTAGGTTCATAATTATTAACTAAGAGAAAGTGGTTTAAGAAGACTCTTTTTATATGTTACAGTCCCCATCATCATAAGTAGTAACATCTTCTCTCTTTTTTCCTTTTTTTTCCATTTTTTTTCATTTTTTGTCTACAAAATCAAATAAGAATTAAGTAACCAGGAGTTTTAAGTTTAAAATGGATAGGAATTGAAAGTAAGATGCATGCTCAAAAGAAGCCATTTTATAATGGGAAAGCACATATAGATAGAAGCAAAAAGCTAAAGTTACAAGTCTTTGCCACGTGCCTTTAGAGGTGGA